ACATGAGAAGCCCCCCCCCCCCCCATTAAAACACATGGTAAAAGCCACCTCTGGATGGTGATTCCCATCTGTATTTCCTCTGAAAAGAGAAAAATTCAATTTTCCAATTCCTAGGACCAGAAACCTTCACCCACCCCCTACCCCTACCCCTTAGAAGTGTGTGGCTTCACAGCTCTGTTCTCCTCAGATAAAAGGAAAACAAACAAAACTCATTTGTCTTGAGACTAGAGTTTCTATCCTTGCTGCTCATCAACTCTGGGTAACTTCTGGTTGTGCAGATGCCAGGGCCTCCCACCTAGAAACCCGGTTCATTCAGTGTTGGATTGGACCCAGACAGACAAACTACTCAAAAGCTCTCATGAGTAGAGAAACACGACTTCAAATGAGGTCATGGAAGATGTGAGGATGAACTCACCTTGCCCCAAACCCACTGAAGGTTTCTAGAAAACGGGTTATAACCTGGCCCTTTTATTTGTAAGCTTCAAGGTAGCCAAACTCAACGTGGCTCCTAACATAAACAAGAAATTCATTTAAAAGCCTGCAGTAATTTGATGTCAATTCAATATTGCGGTTTCTGGTTCATCTCTGGCTCCTCTCTGGTTCCCCAAATCCCATGCCTGTTCTGGCAGCTTACTCAATTATGTTCAGTTTGCTTACCACCCAGATCTGGTGTCCTGTTTCTCATCAAACCCTCCAGTACTTACCTGATAACACTGGATAATGACTTTCCATTAGCCTCATTCAAGTTTTAACCCCATAATTCTGTAACTAAGGAGACCGTAAGAAAGTTTTTCTGGGTCTCAATTTCTTCTCTGTAGGATTGAGATAACAGCATCTATTTGTATCAGTTCTATGCTTGGTCCACTATAACTATCCAATAAATATTCCCTGTATCTCATTGATGACCTTGAACCTCGTATGTCTACTGTTTGTGTCTCCCAAATAGAAGGATTCCATGAGTGGAGACTATTTGTTCAGTAGGTATTCACTGAATTTGAGGGAATAATGGGCCTCAGACAGAGCTATTGACTTTGGGATTATCTGTTCACCCTTGCTTTCTCTGCAGCAGCCATTCTGCTTATGATCACAGAGACTGCAGTGAGGCCTGGATGGCAAAGGCTGGGCTGAGATGCTTAGATCAGTTACAAGAGTGAGTGAAACAGGTCACACAGCACTCTCCTCGGAGATTCAATCCCACATATCCCACATAGTCATATAAACTCTTATTGACTGCATGCCCATGAAATAATGCCTGTGAAATATAAGGAAGATGATTACAAGCTGCCCAGCCTCCAGAGGCTCTCCCAAAACTGACAGACAGGCAGCTAAGCAAGTCAGGGCCGCACAATGTGAAAAGGTAAGTTCAAGTTATATGTGCACAAAAGAAGGGCACACATTTAACTCCAAGTGGGAGGGTCAGGAATCCCTCCCTGAAAGCAGTGAAGTCTGTTTTGAGTTTTAAAGCACAACTAGAAGTTGTCCAGAGGCATATAAAGCTATCCCAGCAGGACAAAATGGCACGCACGGAGGGATAGAAGCAAGAACGAGAGGAGGAGCCGCAAACAGTTTGGCACTACCTAAACCTAGACATTACGGTTAGGCTTGAGGAAGGAGGCCGGGGTAGGGCATAAGGGACTCATAACAAACCATCTCCTTGAGGTGCAAGACCACTTTGTGTTTGAGGTCAGAGGCAAATATTTCAAATTCTTTGGAGTGCAAAAGATCTAGCAGGGAATTTGGCTGGGAGCGTATTACAACATCCAGCCCTCCTCTGTGCTCTCCCTGGACACCATGAACACCAGCTTCAGCATCTCCAAAGCCTCCACATGCTGGACCCATTAGGCGGTGCATGCTCCTCCGTCTGAGTCATCCCCGCTCTGCCTACGGTGGCTGAACCTAGAGGAGCTCTCCCCTAATGGAGTTTGAGATGACTCATTCGTAACCAGGGACTTGAAACTCGAAAACTCAGCAACAATACCTTGGCAGGAAGACTCTGGGTTCAAATTGCCCAGTTTGTTGTCTGGGGAGCCAGTGGGAGTGAGGAGTGGAATGAATGACTCTCAGACCAAGGGTAGAGGCAGGGACTCTGAGTTTTCCCAATGAGCTAGAAATGATAGCATCCATTGCATGCCGTTTCTTGTTTGGGCACCAGTTAGTAACAGGAGCTGAAAAGTGGCATTCAAACGTTTTATTTGGCACACCACATTTTATTTATGATATCTGATGCAATATTTAGACGTAAGGAGCTTTTGCATCAAATTCTACATTTCTGGATTCTGTTAAAGACTGGAAAGATCTGCCAGTAACCCCCTACATGTTCAGAACAGGAGTTCCTAATACAAGCCCAGGTTCCAATGGGGCCCAACGTTTTTACATACTGGTAGCCCTTACCTGTGTTGCTTCAGTTGAGTGCACTGTAACCCCTGCTGGCATCTGAGGCTGCAATTCTAATGCTGAAACTATGCCTAAGGAAACTAATGAAAATTTTCAGTCTGATGAGAGTTTTCAGTAACAGAAGGCTAGACCTTAAGACATGGTCCTTGGCAAATTTCATCTCCCCGATGCTCAGAAATTCATTACAATATAATGTAATAAAAAGGCATGAAAAGCATCAATCTCCAACCACTTTTCTTTCCCTCTTGGTAGAATGCTTAAGAGATGAGTTGAGGCTGGTATTATAGTTACTATTTCTCTTGTTTCCCATCACAGTCATACACTAGGATGCATTGCTCAATCACGGCATAATGAGTGGAATGATGTTGCTGGTCCAAGCCTATTTTTAAGTGGCACTCTTTTTGGAATCTGAAACTCTGGACACTGCATGAAAGGCTTTGCTCTTTCCCTCATCTGTTAGGTTTTGGGTGGCCCTCCCTTCCTCCTGCATTCATCAGCTTGCTTTTCCAGCAGACCTTCCACAACTTCCCCGGGCTGGAAGTCCCAGCCTTCTCATCTCTATTCTAAATTAGTCAATTTGCTGTTGTTATATAGCTCTCTGAGTCTTTGTTTCCTCCACGAGAAGCCTAGTATCTGCTTCACAAAATCACTCTGTGAATTGTGCCTGGAACATAGTGCAAAAAATTGGTGCCAATGTAAGTGCCATTAGATGCTTGAGTGTTTCAAATGCTGTGCATATATTCTCAGGACACTGTTGGAAAGTAGACACTGATGTTAAAACTCCATCTTATAGATGCAAAAGTGGATGCACAGGGAGGTTGAGTAACTTAGGTCACATGGCTAGCACACCTAATAAGGGTCCAAACTGAAGCAGCTGGACCAAGCGTTTGAGGCTCTAATAGCTGATGTCACTGCCTCTTCTCAGGGGAGGTCCAAGTATCAAACAGCACCCTCTGTGTTAGGTATTGCAAGTTCTCTCCAGTGCCAGCTTATATTTTCAGTTCTATGTATCATGATTAAATTCTACTCTTGGTTAAAGCACGATTTGACTACTAAAAGAAAAAAGCAAGAGAGGGAACTCTTAAATCATAAATAAAACCTTAGAGGTGGAGAGCCTCTGTCTTTATTCTCCCTCATTGATACAGGGAAGTCTTCAAGGAAAGAACATTTTTTTGAAAAAAAATCTGCTTTATTAGCAGATCCTTCTTGAGAGCTCTCTGCATTCTAGATCTCACAGCACAGATACAAGCCCATTCCTGCAGCCGCCGAACTATCAGGAGGAGGGCGCTTTCTCATGTCACCCTTGTGAGATAGCCTCAATTCTAACAACTGACTTAGGCAGTTTGGGTGCAGTAGATGTTATCACAGCTGTCCTCAGTCTATCTCCACTGCAAGGTTCTCCACAGCTGTCCTCAGTCTATCTCCACTGCAGGTTCTCCACAGCTGTCCCCAGTCTATCTCCACTGCAGGTTCTCCACAGCTGTCCCCAGTCTATCTCCACTGCAGGTTCTCCACAGCTGTCCTCAGTCTATCTCCACTGCAGGTTCTCCACAGCTGTCCTCAGTCTGTCTCCACTGCAGGGTCTCCACAGCTGTCCTCAGTCTATCTCCACTGCAGGGTCTCTAACAGCTGTCCTCAGTCTATCTCCACTGCAGGTTCTCCACAGCTGTCCTCAGTCTATCTCCACTGCAGGTTCTCCACAGCTGTCCTCAGTCTATCTCCCCTGCAGGTTCTCCACAGCTGTCCTCAGTCTATCTCCACTGCAGGTTCTCCACAGCTGTCCTCAGTCTATCTGTGTTGTAGGTTCTCCACAGCTGTCCTCAGTCTATCTCCCCTGCAGGGTCTCCAACAGCTGTCCTCAGTCTGTCTCCACTGCAGGTTCTCCACAGCTGTCCTCAGTCTGTCTCCACTGCAGGTTCTCCAACAGCTGTCCTCAGTCTATCTCCACTGCAGGTTCTCCACAGCTGTCCTCGGTCTACCTGTGTTGCAGGTTCTCCACAGCTGTCCTCAGTCTATCTCCACTGCAGGTTCTCCACAGCTGTCCTCAGTCTATCTCCACTGCAGGTTCTCCACAGCTGTCCTCAGTCTATCTGTGTTGTAGGTTGTCCACAGCTGTCCTCGGTCTATCCATGTGAGAAATGAAGGGCAGCAAAAAACTACAATGTCCATGGGTTTGTTTCTGTAGTCCATGTCCAATCAACTAGTTCTACCTGCCCGGAGTCCCATGAGCCATGATGTTTGACAAGTGGCTAGAGTACATCCATATATTTGCCAAGACTTGGCCACCATGATTTAGTTCTTGAGTTTCCTCCAAGTGCTTGTTAAAGTAACCATGGAGGAAAGAGGGGCTAACAAAGCAAGAGATATGAGTGAATTATAAATCTAACACGGGACTATGAGGAAGCAAAGTGTAGCAGAAGAATATCCTTTCATATGTGCACATGTAACACATGTGTATAGGGCCTAGGTCAGTCCCAGGCAGGCTTTCTGGTTGGCGGTCCAGTCTCTGTGAGCCCCTATTATGAGCCCAGGTTAGTTGATTCTGTGAGTTTTCTTGTGGTGTCCTTGGTCCCTCTGGCTCCCACAATCCTTTCCTTCTTCCACAGGATTCCCGGAAGTCCATCTAATGCTTGGCTGTGGCTCTCTGCATCTTTTTCTATCAGTTACTGAGTGAAGCTTCTCCTATGACAACTGGATTAGGCAACAACCTGTGAGTATAGCAGAATATCATTAGGAATCATTTCATTGAGCTTTTTTGCCAGTCATGTGATCATGCTGGGAAAAATTAATGAATGAATGAACTAATAAAAAAAGAATATCTTTTCATGCCAGAGGTGGTGAAGACCAGAATTAGTATTTCAGAAGAGTAAAGTCAAACTGATGCATGGGAAAAAGAAAACGTGAGGTGTGGGGTGGGAGGGAGATGGGTGTGGTTGTTAAAAAGACATCACAAGGAGCCTTTGCAGTGGCAGAATTGTGTGTCTTGATTGTGGTGAATACACAGATCGATGGATGTCAGTAACTTACACATAACTAAGCACGCACTCACAATGAATGGCACAGATGTGCAATGAGTAACACTGGGAAATCGAAATACGATCAGTGGGTTACATAAGGTTCAACATTCTGCTTGTGAGTTGTACCCTATTTTCCTTCTTACAAGATATTGCCACAGGAGAAAACTGACTAGAATAGACACAGGATCTCACTACCGTGTCTTACAACTGTGTGTGCGTCTACAGTGATTGCAAATGAAAAGTTCAGTTAAGATAAAAAGAACCAAGCCATTGGGACACAAAGCGGGAATAAGTGACCAGAGACTAGGGGCTCACAACAAACACGGAAATGGTGTTATTAAATTGACCAGATGTGACGATCTAAGGAGAAAAGAGGTTATAGTGCTGCTGTGTGGGAAAAAATGCCGATAGTCATGGATTGAAAAGAGCTGCTAACGTTTAGATGGAATGAAGGAAATTGATTCTTGAACACATTGTGTCAGGGCTTTCTAAAGGATTGCTATAAAAAAGGATGGCCCTGTGAGGTAGCCAAGAGGAGCTTTTAAGCAGCCCTGGGGGACACAGTGACAATCCACCGGCCAATGGCATTGATGAAAACATCCTTTCTGACACTTGTTTTGGGGTCCTTTCCATACTGAAACCATGGACTCTTGACATCCCTAAATACCATTTGGAATCAGAGAAATTGTTCAGGGAAGGGAGACTGGGTTAGTTAGACTGCCATTTTGAATGATTCCCTGACATCCATAAATGATTTCCTAAAAGACAGGGAGGTGACCTTGGTGGTTCCTAGTTAGATGTGAATTTAGGCACAAGGCAAACTCAATCATCTGGATACTGTTGCCTGGAGTCACTGCTGGTTGAACACGATACATTCAGTCAATGGGCATTTATGGGCCCTCTTGTGCAGCAAGGCACATTGAATACACAAAACACTCAATCAGTTGTGATTCTAAACCTGAGATGCCTATTAGGGAGGAACACATACACTAATACAAGACAGGAGATAAATGTAGCTCAAACACTTCAATGTGCTTTATATATTAATTATCCCACAGTTCCTCAAAAGGTAGAACACTTGACATCATGTTTGTGTGATTCAATGACTATGCCGATCGCTTACTATTTTTCAAGATGCATATCAAATCATACAGCCACATTCAGCAAATATTTATTGTCATATACATATAGAGCTCTGTACTAGTTGGTATGATACAATAAGGACAAAACCAGACAGGAGTCTATTCTCAGGGAACCTGGAGTTGAAGGAAGAAAATTGGTGGTAACCAGATGATGGACCACATCTAGAACTGTATCCTGAGAAGCAAAGGCTACAAAGAAAAAAAGGCACGATGCTTTGAAACAACACGAGGGATAGATCTAACCTCATCAGGGAGCTCTGAACTCTTTCTCCATGCAAGTGGCGTTCAGTGGAAAGGTACTCCGGGAGTGGGAACAGTATGACAGAAACACTGTGATGGGAGAAGCCTGTAGTGCTGAGGGGTTGAGAGGGGACCACTGTGGGGAGAGCCAGGATTTGTGTTGCAAGATGAGAATGGAGACTTGAAGAGAAAGAGTTCTTGTCCAGTCTTACAAGGAATTTTGCCTTTACCTGAAAAGCAAGGAGACTCCTTTGGAAGGATTCAGAAAAAGACTGATGGGTCCGTCTTTAATCCACTCCTTTTCTTGTCTGTGGTGTCAAAGTGATTAGTTTGAATTTCATCATTATATTCTATCTTGTGGTGTTTATTGTGACACCAAATGACAAATGTCTCCTCTTCAAAATTAGATGGACGATTCCTTAGGCTGATTCTTAAACTCCATTTTCTCGGGTTTAAGACTCTTAGGGTAAAATGTATGCCTATTGTTAAATTCTACTATGAAAGGGAAAATGCTACCAACTGGACCTGCCACAGATGCTAAGCAGCATCCCTAAATCGGAGATCCAGCAGTGTGGAATGATATGCTTCCTAACCTGACGGGATAGTAGCTTCTTTGATATTCTTACAGCATCTGTTACAGTGCTTTTCATAAATACAGTGGGAGGAGAAATAGACTTCATGAGATCCAGTCCACATAGTGGTTCTACTCTATGTACCCGAGGACAAGAATAAGTCCATTTTGGGTTCCTGGTCCCATCTCTTGGGTAAGTGGTCATGTGATCCCTGAGGTTCTTCTCAGCCTTGTATCTTTCTGCCACAGCTCCTGCCAACAGCTCTAGCAAGATGACTTTGAGGCCCTGGAGAGGTTCTTCAGAGTGAGGTCCTGACAGAGAGGTGTGGGCTTTCACTATTATTCTCCAGGTAGAAGGCAGTAGAGAATGTGCTTTGAAGCCACATAGCCCTAAATGAGAATAAAACGAGGTCTTAAGAAAATCTATGACCCAGTGACAGTTTGTGTGGGTCCAATGCTAAGAGTGAGGCACGGACTGTGTTAGACTTCGAATGTGAAATGTCCCCCATAGGTTCATCTATTTGAACATTTATTTCCCAATGGTGGTACTATTTGGGAAGGCTGTAGAACATTTAAGATGCAGAGCCTCCCTCGCTGGAGTAAGTGAATCACTGCGGGGCAGGCCTGGAGGTTTGATAGCGAGGCCCTACTTTCTGTCCAACCTCTGCTTCCTGACTCCAGAGACAGCGTGACCAGCCACTTCCCACGCCTTCTCCACTCGAAGGGGCCCTGTCACCTCATACCGTAAGCCAAAACAAACCTTTTCTCCTTAAGTTGTCAGGTGTTCAGTCGCAACAATAAGAAAACAGCAAAGTACCCAGGAAACTGTGAATCAGAGATTATTTAGAAATAGGGTCTTTAGGACCAGAGAGATGATTGCGTGAGTAAAGTGCCAGCCCCACACAGAGTGGGAACCTGAATTTGAATCCATAGAAACCAGATAAGGCCAGATGTGGTAGCATACATCTGTAATCCCAATGCTATGATGAGATGAGAGGTAGAGATGTAAAGATCCCTGGAGTTCTGGCCAGGCTAGCCTGGTATAGCCTGGTAAACAATGGAAGAACAGACCCAAACAAGGTGGGGGACACTCCCACTGACATCCCCACATGTGAACAAGCCCATGTATGCACAGATTTTTTAAAGGGCTTTATCTGGCTATGGTAGTGGGCACCTGTAGTCTCAGCTACTTGGGAAACTGAGGCAGAAGAATCATTTGAGCACAGGTTTTGATCAATATACTAAGAATAATTTAAACAAATATGATATTTTCACTGATCAAGTTAAGATGACATGCTTAGGGTGGGCCCTACTACAGTGTGCTCTCAGAAAAGGCAGATTTGGACACAGAGACAGACATCTGCAGAGGAAATCGTTTCTGTAAGCCAAAGAGGCCCTGAGGCCCCAAGACGCTTCTGGAGAAGCTTGGAACATCTTGTGTTCACAGGCCTCGGAATAATTCGACCCTGCTGACACGCTGATGTGGGCTTCTAGACTCCAGAAATGGGAGACAATGAATTTCTGTGCCCAGGCTGTGGCATTTTGTTTCTGTGTCCCGTAGTGATATGATGATGTGCCTTCCACCAACATAAGCTGTTACCTGGAGCACTGTTTCCTTCTAATCCTCCTCTGCTTCTGAGAGGATAACAGATTATCACAACCAAGAGTCTGAAACATGAGAAGCTGTTAAAATGGCGGGATCCTCAGCCCAACCATGTCCCATATCTGCTACCTGCACTGGACAATTGCTTCTTGCTGCTCTGTCTCGGAGCATCCAGCATCCCATTCTACCTCTCCAAGCACCTTCTTCTGCCCTCCAAGCATCATTAGCAGGGCCTCAATGTCACTCAGCATCCTACCTCTCCTTAGCCCTGACCTCAGGTGTCTTATGAACTAGGATTGGACCAGCCCTTGACTGTGGACTAGAGAGATGGCTCAGCAGTTAAGAGCAACTTCACCAAAGCCTTGGCTCTAAGCACGTATCCAGCACCCTTTTCACTACATCAGCACACCTGGTGATACCAATCAAAATTTTGAAAACAACTCCACTCAGATTCCAGACTGTTGTATGTTGTGGATTAGTATTTCTGCTTCGCATACAAAGTTTTCTGCTCTTACAGAAACATAAAGTTTTAATTATGGGATACAGGCTTGAAATATTTTCCTACCATTGTTCCTCAGTGTGTAAGTACCAAATTAGTGTATATTTGGATTGGGTAGGGTTAGAATGTTTGGTTTTTAAAATTATTGAGGGCCAACAAGATGGATCAGTGAGAAAAGGTGTTTACCACCAAGCCTGAGTTCAGTTCCCAGAACTCACAGGATCCTGCAACTTGTCCTGTGGCCCCTACATGCATGCCATGGCATGTGTGCATGTACATGCACATATATATATATATATGTGTGTGTGTGTGTGTGTGTGTATGCATATGCACACATACTTTTTTAAAAATTGAGTTGCTCATTTGAGCTTTATTTTAAAAAAATCACTTAATGAATTTTGTCTTGGGATTAGAACAGAATTTCTAACAAATTTTGAAATTATGTGAAGAGGCATTTTCAGCATCAATAATTTAAAAAAAATTTTAAATGTCAATAAATTCTAGAAACAAAACATTTAAGATGTTCTGTGTAGGTTAAATTCTGTCCTGTGATATGAAATATTCATCCAAGGTTTAATTCTTTATGTAAAAATAAATAAAGATATTCATTCAAATTGATTTTTGTCTCTAATGAGTGG